GAATGAATGATTTTCTAAAGGATTGAATCTGTTATAAGCGAGAATGTTTAGATACCGATTGTAAGGCGACAACATTATATTTTCTTGTGGTGGGGTATTCCTAATGAATTCGATTAACTCATTTACCGCCTTTGCACTATTTCCATTCGCGTACAGCAATATTACACATAATAACATTCCCGTATTTTGATTAACAAAAAATTTAGCAGGATCTTTGCAAATATATTGAAGTAAAGTCGGAGACATTCTTCTCGCGAGTTTTGTCATTTTTTCTTCGACCTCCTGTTGGCTGGCTTGCGAACGAATGTGGTCCATGCTCGATAAGGCTTTCATGGATTCTTGCGGTAAGAGTGTTGAGCGTCCAGTAAGCAAATGGACAAGGCATGCGCTTCCATAGTCATTTTCCATTATATTTTGTAGGTTTCGAATTATTTCCGTGATGACCATTTTTCGTATTAGATCGATACTTTTCACAGATTCAAATATATTGATTATGAGTAAATGACCATATTGATTCTTGCATAAAGATGGAACTTTCGATCTTATTGACTTTAGCATTATCCGATGATCTTTTTCTCTCGCATGATAGAAACAAAGCCTGGCAACATGTATTCCTTTTTGTGTGTGCAAAATTGGTGCAACGAATCGGTTAATTCGAGCCGTGATCTCTTGATCTTCTCGAAACTGTACATACGTCAAATATTCAATGATTATATCTTGGATAATTGTGTGTTTGAACGTCTTTTCATTCAAGCAACCAAGGATATTTCTGGACATCACGCGAAGAATTTCACTTCTCTGAAAAGCGTTCTGATCTGCTATGTCGTCCAACTTTAATATTGATCGACCATTGTGGTGATTTCCAAATTCGGATCCATAAAATTCAGAAATTAACAAAGTTTTTTGCTCGGAAGTCGAATTTACGTAGATTGTTTCTACCACATGAGAGCCAAGATCATCTTTCAACAGTTCGATCGCGTTCCCAAAAAAATCTCGAATAACTTTTGTTTTCTTAAGTTTTGGTTCCTTCAGCAAAATTTCAATTAGTCGCTTTCCATTGTCTGCTTTCGCGATTTCGAGAAAATTGCCTTCGAGTCGAGCAAAGATACTCTTCTTGATGGGGGCTCGCCCTCGATGAAAAACATTAACCAGGATATCAAAGGCTTTTTGGTCATGTAACATCCCTAATAGATGATCTTTCATTACCAAATATAAGTTATTTACAGCATCTCGTTGTTGTTTCCACTTGATAACCGGGTCATTGAAACTTTCTGCCAGCTTATAAAGTGTGTTCAAAAGTTCAGGTCTCAAGTTCCTTTGTTTAACACACTCTATATTGCGCATAATTTTCTCGAAATTACCAATTTCCAATTTACTCGAACCAGCAACTATTGTGCTAGTCGTTGTTGAATGAACAGCACAACTTTGCTGGTTCGAGTGATTGGAATTAGTGGAATTACTAGCAACTATCGATTTAACAGTTTGAGTTTTATCTCCTTGCCCCATTTTAATTTTTTTGGTAGGGTTATCCGCACAATTGATGTTGAAGCTGGGCTCTGGCTCCTCTACTATAAAGTTTCTCTTTGAGGACATTTTTTTGCGATAACAAAATATCTTTAATTGATGTATTTTAAAAATTTCGTAAAGGTTACATATGTATCACGTGTTCTTTACATTTCATATTTAGGATAAAAGAAATCAGTTAACAAAAGGATTGCATTCACAAATCACTGCTCTCGCAAAGAACGAGAATCCTGATCCTACGGCCAAACCCGTAACTAACGCAAATCCCAATGTCGGTCCAGCGATATCTTTTTCATTATCAGGCAATTGTTGTGGACCTGCCATCATTATTGCGGATCCCAAATATCCGTTCGTGACCCCAAACAAGAACAAAAAGAAAAAGTACAAGATGTCGTTCTTTATCAAAAAGGGGAATGTTCGCAAAGCCGAGTTCCCAACGTCGACATTACACGCCAAGAAAATTGGCACAAAAGCCAGTCGTATAAATGAAAAGATGGTCAACTTTTTCTGACTCGTAATCATGAAAAAATCCCATCCCGGCAAATTACGACCAATCAGGTCGCCAACATTAAATAATAGAAAATGAATTGGGATGAACAAGTAATCTAGTTGGAATTTTTGTCGATCTTCTGGTTTCGCCACTGATTTGATGGATGCAGTAATTGATGGAAAAAGTGACAAGGTCACAACGAATGTTAAGAATACGGCGAATGCAAATGTTTGTAGTTTCTTGAATGTTTCATAGAGAAATTTGACTGTGGAACTTATTCCGTCGAAATCATAAGACTGTTGCTGATCGCGTGAAGTGTAATGCTCATAAATTGATAATCGAACAAGAATGTTGAAGGTGATCAAAGCAACTAGAGCGACTACAAATGTAGATATGAAGTATTTGCTTGCGACACCAATCAAGTCTTCTAATTCCGGTTCTTGATTTGAAGATGCTGATCCAATGGCTGCAGCCACAATTTGAGTAATAGATACGATAGTGCCAGCCACACCTACAAAGGTATTATTCATGTTTAGATCTTGGGACGCACACATTACAAAGAAAACATAATGATTTATTGCCTTGTCCACTAAGTAATATAATAGAAAGAATAGGGTTAATCATAATAATTTGAACATTCCGTTCATGATCATTACTAAAAAAAATAAAAAAAAATTACCTCATCACAGCCTGCATATGGATCGGAGGGAATTGGGAAGCAAGGGCAAGAATCCCATTTTGTATCAATGAAGTTGTAGCACCCGTGATCAAAAGCATTATCATAATGAAATAAAAATAACCCGAAGACGAAAATAATTCAACATAAAGGGTCGAAAGTGCCATCAAAGAAAATACTAAAACATTGACTATGAGTGAACAGGCTATTCGACGGAATAAATCCACCTAATTGTTAACAATAGCAAAACGTAATTACTTGTTTATTATGGGAGATGCAACATTTTATCAGAAATTCGTTTTCAGCGGACCTTTCTCTGTGTATATAACGCTTTTCCAAAAAAGATCAGGTTAAGAAACGTAAACCCAATCGAGAAATAATTTTGAAAATTATTAGCATATTGTGATCCAGAGAATTTAGAACGAAAGAATTCCGATGATGTTATAAAAGCTAAAGAAATTCGGGATAAAAATTGACAAGTAAAGCAAAATCCGGTTATTGGGTAACTGTCTTCAATAACATTTTCATACCGTTCCATGGTAGCAGCATTGCAAGACCCTGTATCAAGAAAATCCCGTAGGCTAGTTTATTCTGAAAATCAGGGAAACTATCTTTCGATAAAGCATTGTCTTGTTCGGTAGTAGGTGTACTTGAACGAATGGGTTGATAAGGGTGATTAACCACAAAAAGTTTATCTCTCAAATAATTTAAGAGACGATTAAAGATTGCCATAGTGAGTAATGGGTTTAAATTAAAATATTGATTTCCTTTTTATACCTTTTATGCATGCGGTAATACTTCTAAAAATATACTGTACCCCGATACAGTATATGGGAATTATGTCGCTTACAAACATTTTTGTTCCGCGAAATCGTAAAGTAGATTTTACGGTAGATATTTTAATAGAGGATCTTGCTAATGTACCATTAGTGACTGGACTGTTCTATGTAAAGTGGAAACTAAAAAATGCAGAAAAGACGAGTGGCTCTACTGAACGGTAGTGTACATAAATAATGTAGAAACTTTCATTCCCTCCTTCGTGGCTCACCATATGGTATTTTTTTTCCATTAGAGCTTTCATTAAAGATTATTCTGTATTTTGGAATTATAACATCTCAAATACGATACAGCTAGTTGTTGGAAAAGACGGATATTTGATGCCTTGCGAACTTTGGCTAACTATAAAACAAGTATGGTTCCTTTATCTTTATAATGTAGTATATTTATTTGTGATCTCTATTTAGATAATTAAATTTTTCTACTTTTGATTTGTTTTGTTGAAGGAATTAAAGGGAGGCAAAGAAATAAACATAATAGGTTCTTTATCGTTAAATCTTTCGGAGTATGTTGGTTCAGGTAAGATGACGCGTCGATATTTATTACAGAACAGTAAGATCAATTCGACAATAAAGGTATCCCTCTTATTTCACATGAAATGTTTCTTTGAATCTTCTCATTCCCTAATCTTTTTTTCTTTGGAAAACATAATCGATTAGTTGTCAATTGAAGTGAATCATAAATTTGGAGATGTGGAATATAAAGTGTCGGTATTTTATTACGATTTCTTGTGATTTCATTTTTACGGACAAATAAAGATTGGACTTCCTATTTCTAAACATATCAATAGGCCACAATTAAAAAAGACTCAAATATTTGGAGGT